TTCATTTCGCTGGCCCATTGTCATGCGAACGCTGGACGCCCGCCAAGAGCCTCAAAATATAATGGAGTGCCCTGGGATCAATTGGTGAAATTTTAAAAAGTATAAATATGCGCCATCGCATTATTGCAAAAAATGAGAACTAAGCTCTATGGGCAACCGATACTCGATATGCGCAGTTTTGTGAGGTGAAAATTGGGGGTTTTCAATGGCAACAAATGCCAATTAAAGTATGCGTTGCCCTAAGCCTCTTTCACATCATTATTATGAGTTTTAACGTAATTATGGTTTATTTTTTACCCCACTTTACTCGTCAATTAACAGGGCTTTTCCTTGAAAAGTAAACGTGTTCAAGATTAGTTGCAGTATACGAGTATATACAGACAATTGTGTATATCAGTGGAAAATGGCTTTGAATTTGATTGATTATTTGAAAATATTCCAGCTGCAGACTCCAGACTAGGCAAGTTCAGTCACCTAATCCAGCATATTGGCTGATTTAGCTGCTCTGCCAGCCAATTTGCGCACTAATGACGATGATCCTTTGTCAGCTTTTCACCCTTTTCCGATTAAAAGCATGTGTGATTTTTCAATTCCCAGACGACGATCATCATCAACACATCAAACTCATATGCAGGGCGTAAGTGTTTTGGCACTCGACGTCGAGCGTCCAGCTCAGAAATCTGAATATCTGGCGTACTGAACAAAAAACTTCGAGCTCAGCTCATCAATCGCTGTCGCTTTGGGGAGGGAAGGGTTGGATGTGAAAAAGCGAGGCAAACCACTAATTTGTCGGCCAGGTCGGGGCGCACTATTCTCATATATTGCTTTGACAAATGTCTCGCACCTAATCAAATTTGATACAACTGAATGAGCCTCGAACGGCATACGTGTGTGTGTGTGCCATGTGTATGCAAATAGGTCCTGTTTTGTGGCAGGCACTCCTGTTCTCCTGCAATCAGTTGTCAAGTTGCGGCTGGTTGCAAATTTATCATCATTTAATTTCCATTTGGCGTTCGTGCCAAATGTTAATGACGCTGTTGAGTTGACAACAACTCAACTCGACTCTGCTCTTCTCTTCACAACTCGACTTCACTGGAGGCAAATCAGCGTTATCCTTGCACTTACGTCTGCAATTTCCTTGCTGCTTTGACGCCCTGTGCTCGCTGACAAATTATGTCCCAGTCGACATCGCGCATTCGCCCCGTGGGCCGTCCGCTTTTGCCGTCGCTGCTCATTTGCCTAAGTGCGCCGTGCTTTTTGTGCGGTGGAGGCTTTTAATTAATTGTTAGCCTGCGACTTATTGACGGTCTGGTTGGTTGGTTAGCATTGCGCAGCACCACTGCACTGCAGCCAAGCCAAAAAGGGCAGCAAAAAAAAATGTCAAACTAGCACTTAAAAAGCCGCCACGCTTTGCTACTTGTCAACCACGCGCCACAGTCGCACTGCCAGTCGCATAAATACGAGTACGAGTATCCCCAGCTATACCCACGACTATAGCCACCCTCGACAATATGCTGCACGTCCAGACGAAGCGGGGGTTGGGTGGGGTAGCTGCTCGAGGGGGTGGGGGCGTTTGTCGATTTTGAATGAAATATGAGACACGACACTGAGCTACCAAACATATTTACCACTATAGAAAGGTTTTGCTTAATTAACTATTAATAATATAATGCACAGCATTGATTTAAAGTAATAATTAAATACAAAGAGCACTAGCCATACATTAAATATTAATAATGTAGTAAAACAAGCACAGGTTTCAGTATTATTATTATTATTTATGAGCTCAGATATTAACACTTTTTAAAGGACATAAAGATTTCATTTAGGTAAGTACGACACACAAACTTTGCTTATCGCCTTTTTTGTTAAGGGTAGAAATTATATCTATAAATACTTACTGAGCTCGCAGATCCTCTTTTCCTTTTTAAAATATTTTTTTCCCCTAGCAAGTGCCCAGTTTTGTAGCCCAGTGTAGCGGCTAACAACCCCGTTAAGCAGTTGCAAATATGAAACAGTTTGACAAAAAGCCACCACCCACAAATTAGGCTGCATACCGAGTGACACAAAATGGGGAAAGGGGGCTTATGACAGACGACAGACATCGCCGCCATGTTTAGGATATACACTGCTATTGGGGAGAGATACTTAGATACACAGAAAACTACCAGGGTTACGAAACAGACAACAGCTTGACCCCTTCGCAGGACGATCTTGGTAGAGTCCCTATCCAGCCCGTTAATGTTTATGGCACCCAGAAACCGAACGAAGGACATAAACCGAACCTTCCGCGTAAGAAAGGCATATGGAAATTGCAAGGAAAATGTGGAAAATGAGAACAGACGAGGTCGTTGCAATGATTTCGCCGACAAATTGTATCAGCGTTATTAGCTAATCCGTCTGGTCCTTTGTCGCTAATCCCGCGGATTAGCGCGTGCATCTTTCGCCTAAAAAAGTGCACAAAACATACGGATTTTTGGGAAAACTTGATGGAAATCAATAGTGTGGCTAATCCGGGTCTAAAGTTACCGCAGGTAGCCAAAACACTGCACGAGAAGAGCAACAACAACCCAAACAGCCAGCACTAGAAGCATAAAAATCTCGCGACATTTCGCACACTCCTTTCTGCGGACCGGACGCTAATCCCAGCCATAAAGTCGTAAAAAATCGAAGCACCCGGGAGGCTGCAAATTATATTTGTATACAGACGTGACCAAATGGGACGAAAGGCGTGGCGTTTTGGGAGTGGGAGGCGTAGGAGAGATGGGTCGTAAAACGTTTTCGACCATCCTTAAAAACCCAACGAGTTCAAATGGAATTTCAATCATTCGTGCATCATTTTTTCGATGATATATACTGGGGAATTACGGATCAGGAAGGCGTGAGCGGGGTTATGTTTTAAGCTTGGCTTAGTCGGTGGGATGGATTAGGTCTTTCGCGAAAGTTAATCACTTCCGTTTGGGTTCGACAGAGGTAGCATGCGATATTAAATCATAGACTGATTATGGTTGTAAATAGTTTTATGACCAGCATGTTATGATGTGAAAATAATCATCAAATTTGTAAGATTCAATAAAGAACGTGTATTATGATCATTATGATATTATTACAATCATAAAACTCAATTTGTAAGTTTTGTAAGATTCAATATAGATATCTTGAGATATATATATCTTGCGTGCTACTTTAGCAGCGCGAATTCTTGAGCAGCTATCTGCAGGATGTCCATATAACATGCTAATTTTTAATGACCTAAGAAAATAGTTATAAAATCGAAATACTTTGGAAGCCCATTACCTTTTCAAAACAAATGTATTGCCTGAACCTTTCTGACGACTTATGCACTGTATACACAACGCTTTTCAAACCCGAAGCGAAACAATGTTCCAAAGAGCTAAACCAGAGGAATCCAATTTTTATATAATTTTTCAATATCACGTCAATGCTGGGTAAATATTTGTGAAATGTAGATATCGAATAAAGAACCGAGAGCAAACGGAGAATGGAGAATGGAGAAACAAGGCACGGAAAAAAGACCAACATCAACAATACGCATAATAACAACAATAATCAATATTTGATATTTTAACACATTTGACATACACTGTGGAAAACGGCGTGGAGCGGGGCCAAGGGTTTGAATTGACTCCAAAGACTTGAAAACGGCAATCGAAGTGCCAGAGTTCGGGGGTAGACAATGCAAGTGGATTTATTAATGACCGCAATTATTCTTATTATTATTATTAGGAGAAGAAGCCAAAAATCAAAACGGAAAAACACGCGTTGATTTCTTTCGCCAGGGTATTCAGTTACACTGAATAGTGAATAGTGAGGTCTTAGAGGGGCCAGGCCCCCCGTTGATCCCGAAAAAAAGAAACACAATGTGACCCCCATCCAAAAAGCGAAGAGGCGACCCTTTGTTCAAACTATCGAATTCTGGCTCGAAGGCGCAAAATAAACAGCGCATTAATCAATAGAAATTAATACACAACGGCAAATAGTTGTATAATGGCAAATCAAATTTTAGTTTTTTCATCTCCCAGCGGGTGTAAACTAACCAACAAAAACTCACACAAAAATGAGCGAATTAATGGTAAAGACACCCAGAGACAAGGTTAATTTGATCAGCAAAGTGATAGCAGTTTGATATTAAACGAATACTATCCATGACCAAAAAAAAAAACATAAAAATTCGTACCCATTATTAGGTGATGATGAAATGATTGTTTTTAAGCTTCAGCCGAATGACTCACTCAATACAGTTGAGAATATTATGTTAATGGTCTTATGAATATTTAAATTCGTAATTAATTTCGTTGATAATGTCGATCCGTGCTCAGAGCACGACCTTATATAATCTTAAACTTTATGAAAACGACATGGACACAAATTCGTATTTAAATATGATAATCCAATTATGGAGAAGGGAAAATAATCGGCCGAAAATTGAAATTGCACATAGCTTAGCCAAATATTTATAAGGTAAATATAAGAGAATGTGAAATGCATGCAATGAAAGGTTTAAATATATTTTTTAATTTTTAATAGAATTAAAGTAGTGATAACTTCTTCTGATTCAAGTCATTCAAATACAGAGAGCTCGACTAATGATCTTAAATGTGATCATAACTGGTATAAGATCCAGGTTTCATCAATCGGGGGATTTAATTTTAAAATAAATTACCAGTTTCCGAGCTGTAAATTATTTGAAATGAATAAAGCAGGTTTTCAAATTTGGTTTTCTTAAATCATTTTGTTTTTATTCATTTTTAAATGTCTTTGTTTTGTGTTGGCCTTCATGAACCATTATTCGCTTAGATGATAAATTTTACAATACAATTAATAATACAATAATACATTGATGTACGTTTCTGTCCTTGCATTTGGGCTACACTGAGACTATAACGAAATGTTGCAGGGATATTTACAATTTGAGAGGGTTAGACAATTAAAACTATAAGCTACATTTTAGGTAGGTGCTGATGCGAAATAAACAACAAGGAGGTGGCGCTCGCTCAATGCTTAAAACTAAATAAAATTAATTTACAATTACGTTTTTTCTTTCATTTTCCATTTTCTTTGCGGTGTAGTGAGTGCGCTAAATAAATTATAATTTATAGTTTGTGTATTGGCTAGGAATGTTTTGTGTGTGTGTTTGCCTTCCTTAGTCTCTAGATTTGAAGTGCGCGAAGATTGTACTAGAATTAAGCGGAGTGGTTTGGAGGATTGGCTTACTTAGAGCTTTTGAAGATTTAAAACCAGTGGATCACTTTGGGAATGCGTCAACAATTGTACTCTACTCTGTACTCTACCCTAAAACGCGGCTCTAATAGAGCACCGGAACCGGTCGCCTCAGGGCGCTGTCCATGGATCCGTCCATGCCATTTGGCGTGATGGTTCCGGGCGATGATCCCGGCGAGGAGGTGGACGAGGATGGGTAGAGTCCGGCGGCATTGGCGGAGTGTGCGGCGTACAGCGAGGGTGCCGAGATGCCGGAGTAAATGCCCGAGTAGAAGCTGCTCAGCGAGGTGGGCGGCAATTGGGGCGGGGCTTGTCCTTGCTGCTGACCCTGATTGTTGACCGCCGCCGCCGCCGCTGCCTGCGATTGATGCAATTTCGATAGGGCCAGTGGGTCAAATCCTCCAAAGTACGGCACTGGATAGCCCTGGTCCAGATGGTGTGAGGGTGCGAAGTATGGCGGCAGCTGATGGAAGGGATTGTAGCCCCCGGCTCCAGCGCCCGGTCCAGCGCCCAGCTTCTGTTGACCCATGCCGCCGGCCTGCATCTGCAGTCCACCCTGGGGTCCAGCGGTCAGTGGGTTCTTGGGCTTGCGGCGTGGCCGGTACTTGTAGTCCGGGTGCTCCTTCATGTGCAGGGCCCTCAAGCGCTTGGCCTCGTCGATGAATGGTCGCTTCTCGGACTCGGCCAGCAGCTTCCACTCGGCACCCAGGCGCTTGGAGATCTCGGAGTTGTGCATCTTGGGATTATCCTTGGCGATCTGACGACGCTGCAGGCGGGACCAGACCATGAACGCGTTCATCGGACGCTTGATGTGACCCTCCTGACCCGGCGATGTGGCCAGACTGTGCATGCCGGCGGACTGGTGTCCGGAACTGGAGTTCAGACCACTGCCATTGCTGCCCAGGCTGCTCTGGCTGCCCAGACTGCCGGCGGATCCGATGGAACTGTTGGGCGACAAGGTCTGTTGGGCGGAGACCGCCTGGTGCATGTGGTGCGGGGTCATGTGACTGGACATGTGGTGTCCCATGCCCGTGGATCCGTTCACACCCTGGCCGGCGGGTCCATTGGGCGATCCGCCCATGGCCGCCAGGCTTTGGGAGTAGTGCAGCACACGCTTGATATCCATGTCCATGCCGGGACTCAGCTGGAGCTGACTTTGCTGGGCGTAGTCCTCCAAGCCCTGGGCCTGGCCCAAATGGAAACCGTAATTGGGGTGCGTCGATAAGGTGGCCATTCCAGCTATTTTGAACACTTTGTTTAACTTTCGCTTCTTTCAAGATCAACACTTCACTTTCCAGAACACAATATGTCTGTATGTGGTTCAACTGTGATTTCTCAGATTTTTGTCTTTGTCTCTATGTCAATTACTGTCTTGCTTTTGCTTTTGCCTTTGCTTCTGCTTTGCTCTTGCTATGCTTCTGCTCGGATCGACTGCTTTTTTGTGACTGATTTCAGTAGTGTTCCAGTGCGGCGTACACGACTGCAACCAAATCCCGTTTCTCTCGGAAGAGAGTTAAACACGAAGTGCGAGCAACCCTCGCTTTGTTACCTTTACGTAAGCCAGGCGGGTGCGAACGGGACAGAGGCTGGGCTTCTTACCTGAGAGAGAGCTGCGCCGTCGTCGCGCTTTCACTCACACATAGCGCCTTCTCTCTTTCGTTTTGCGGACCATTGTTCCACCGGCTTTGTTCCATTGGCTCCTTTATATCGGTTATAGTTGTTCGCCCATTGAGGGGTGTGTTCAATAGAGGAGCTCAATAGAGCCAAAAGCCAGGCAGCTCTCGTGTTCGGCTGTGCTTCGTGTTATTCGATTTAGCGACCCCATTTCTGTGGGGCATGGTAGGGGGGGCTCAAGGTATAGAGAGAGAGAGAGAGCACATTGATTTTCGCACAGTGGGCACACAATTTCCGTTTTTGTTTGCACGGCGGCGTTGCACTTCCGCATCTCGTATGCAGCTAGAACGAGAGAGGGAGAGAGCGCAACTCTCTCCTCGTGTTTGTGTGTGTGTGCGTGTTTGTTGGGCCAATCACAATGGGTCTTTGGTGTGAATTTTTGTCCATTGTGGGTGTCTGTGTTCTGCTATATACCGTTCTCTATGTGTACTGTGTAGTCGGTACTATGTGTGTGTGTGAAAGGACTTTTTAGTTTGTGAAAAGGACATGGAAACACGCTTTCCATTCTCTCGCCCGCTCTCCATTCTCGCATTCTTTCATTTCGCTCGCCATTCTTCTCCATTCTTTTCCGTTCCCTTTTTGCCACTTCTTCCTGGCCGCTCCAGAAAGGATATTACTGCAATTATTTACTTATTTGGCCATAGAAAGAAGCCCACAAAGGAGCCAGTGGGAAGTACGGCAAATCTTCACCCAGATGCATGTAGAACGGTCCTCTGTGCTTTATTATAATAAAGATGTTTTAGCCAGCTTTTCTTTTTGGCCTGCTAAATAAGCAGCAGCATAAGCAAGGAAACCTTTTTTAAATTTGATTGAAAGGACAAGGGCAATCAAATAGTTCGCAATTAAATTGACTGCAAACTAACGTTTTTCCGGCATCTATCAGTTCTTTCGTCACTAAAAGGGTTTCTTAAGCCTTAACACAAAGTTTTCAAACTCCTTTTACCTTTCCAAACAGATATATTATTATCGGCTCTTGTGATACACAAGTTTTAAAAGTTGTACTTTGTTTTAACAACTGCATGTAGAATAAGTTTTGATTTTCTCGTACACTGTTAAAAAATCCACGGCCCAAAGTGAACCCATCACTTTTCCCCCCTTTGAGTGATCCCCCACCCTTTCTCTTTTCCTTTCTCCTGCACATGCACACGCACCCACACACCGATGCACCAAAGCTTAGTGCACTTTCCAATTGCATTTACAAAGCTCTTATACCTGGCCCATGGCGTAAGAGCATAAAAAGCTTTCAGCGCTCGCAACGTTTCCTTTGTGTCTGCTTTCCCCCAAAAAAGGAAGAAAGGACAACGAAGAACGGCAGCAACAACGAATCTCAAATAATAATGAAAGCAAAAAACTGTTGTACGTTGTGTAATGGAAAAAGTTTTGTCTGCGCCACATTTTTCTTTCCGAGTATTCAGCATTTCACTTAGCAGACGAGGACACTAAGTGAGTGATAATAGCACACAGTGTACGATGAATGCAGGATCCTGTTTCCTAAAATCGCTCCACTCACATGCGGTATAAAGAATTATTACATTTGCGATACAGTTTATGATGAATTCGTTATTCTTTCTAAAGAGTACTAAGACAAACCAAGATTTTGTAGCCCCCAGTTCGAATAGGTGGAAACTGGAAATATTTTTAAAAATATATTCATGTTTTATATATAGGCTCTAAATGTGGTCTTACAGCCAAATTAATAAATACTTATGCTCATGATAGCGTGCTTTCCTACCCAATTAAATAATTACTAAAGCTAATAATAGCTTTCTGTGTTACCCTTCTTCCATTGTTGTATTGCCATGCAAAGTGGAAAACATTTTTTAATCCAAATATCTCATCAAAATGTACAGGTGACAGTTGAAAATGTATGTAATGAATGTAAATTTAATTTGATCGCTCAATGGCAGGTGAGAGATGAGTCAAGTTGCGCCGTGATTACTATTATTCGAATACAATATTAACCATTATCCTGTCGCCAGAAATCACCCTCGCCGCTTAACCCATTCGGAATTCTCCGATTCTCGGCGGTGAAAGAGAAAAACTCGCGTTTTATTGTTTGCTCTTCAATTGTTGTTGCTTTCGATTGTTGCTGGTTGTTGTTTTCATTCAATTGTCATTTGGGGAGCGGGTTTCATTTTTATTTTTTGTATTCCGCAAATATAATTTTTGTCATTCATTCTTTTTTAATTAAATTCAGGAACAATGCCGCAAATGTGAGACTTGACAATGTCCAGAATGGATTCAATGATAATGGCAAAAATGAAACGAACATAAAAGCCAAATGAGGTTACGTTCCCATTATTGTTCAGTTGATTGAATCGTTCAATTATTGATACGGCATATATATCGTATACATTATAGTATCATTTTTGCAAGTTATACATGATTTTTCCCCTCATTTGGAGTGATATAATTCAGTTCGCCTCGCATCTGTCGTCGGCATATGGAAAAGGAATCGTTTTGACTGAATTTTCTCACGTTTTTGGTTGGGTCTTTGTTCACTTTGCATTTCCATTTCCATTTTCCACCCACTAGAGTTCTCCTTTGATTTTCTCTGGTTCCTGGCGTACGTGTCCATTTGATTGCCTCACAGATTTTGGCGCTTTTCACATGTCATTCCAGTTAAGAGCATTTTTGGCATGCTCACGAATTTCCCTTTCTCTACTTTGAATTTCTGGTGCCTGCATCGCTTCGCTTTGGTCTGGAAAAATGAAAAATTATAGCGCATTTATCGTTTGATGTTAATGGAATGTGGGAAATGGGGGAAAGGCAGGTCCTGCTGGGGATAATAAAACCATTTTCGTGGTAAAACTAGCATTAATCGAAGAGAAATATGTGAAATGCATACAACATTTGTTTCGGTGTAATAGTTAGGATAAAATTCTGGAAAATAATTGGAACAGAACGCTTTATTAAATGTGGTAAATACATTTTTCAACATATTAGATTTCTCTAGGTGTTCCTACAACAAAGCAATATAATGAATTATAATTTTGCACTTCCCATCATATCCGGTTATCCGGTGCGGGCGTGATTATGCGACAAGAAATGGCCAAACTGTCTCGGGAATTTCTCCTCTCGGCTCATCCCAAGCTCAGACCATCAGGGAAACAAAACGAGCCATTCATCGAAGGATACTATACTGTAGGAAGAAAAACCCTATAGCGGTGGAAGGACGCCCACATGTGCTGTCGACTTCCGTTTCGGCCTCACCTGATGCAAACCGGTTCCACTTCTGTCATGGATGTTGCACAATTCAAGCAACTTTTGTATCCGCCTTGTGCATCCTTTGTTTTGGCCCGTTTCTGGGGAACTCGGGGTAAACAGTCTAGCTGTTTGTATAGAAAACTATTTCCGGGGTCAGTTATTGTCATTAGTATTGTTCGCAAATCACTGATAATATTTCGCAATATCATCCCAGGAAAAACAATCGACAATCACTTTTTTTCCGAGCAACCGAACTGCGGTGTTTGCTAAAAAGGATAATTGGTGTGAAAAACATGTGTAAGCCCGCAGCGAGTTATTCTGCTCAGCTGTGGATGAATGTGTGGGAAAATGCGAGATGCAAATCCAATTGTCGGAGCTGTCAGAGCGTAGGTCTTCGATGGCCACTCATAATCCTTGCTCGATTTGAGTTCATTACGCTACCAGGTCCTAGATGTCATAACAGATTAACAGAGAAACCTTAACACATCTCCCCCACCACCTCCTCGGTCCGCATTGTTCTTAACCCTTCCACGCCGATTCCATCATCCAGCCACTTGGACTAAACGATGTTAATTTCTTAAACGGAGTTCGAGTGCCGGTCCGGTGGGGTTAACCTACGACTTGGTCCTGGGATCTCGTCTTGAGGCCTTTTTTCACTCGTTTGTAATCGAAACGAGCCACTTAAGGAACCGCCGCGATCCTTGAGTCAAATTTCTTTATGCCTCGTTTTCATATTTCATTTCATTTCTATTCTTTTTGCATATTTTCCTCCTGGCGAATTTAGGGGTTGACTTCTAGGGGAGTGGTGGTGTAGTGTTTGAAGTGCGCGGCTACACTGCGAACAAAAAGTAAGCTTTATGCAAAGGCAGGAGAAAAAAATGTATCTTAAAGGCAGCTTTGAGCATAGGTGTCCCACTGAATGGGGTAACTTGGATCTCTCTCCTCAAAGATTGGGTAAGTTAATAATTTATTCTCAATTCTTATAGTTCGTTTAGAACTACATATATGCCTATACTATAAGCTATATCTCTGAGCCCTAGATCTTTTGCCAGCTCGGTAATAGATTTTCCTTCTAATCCATTTTTTTTTTCAGTGTGTGCCTAATTTTTGTTGTCGCTCCTCTCCGAGCAAATCGTCGCCGTCAAAGTGCCCACTCGATGCGACTTTCGTTTGAAGTGGGTTCCGAGGCTCGGAACAGGCGGACGGAGTGGAGTACAGAGGATTCCGGAATCGAGTGGAGAAGAGGTGAGTTTCCTTCCTGACCGACGTGCCGAATCCCACGGTGTGTGTTTACGACCAACAAGCACAGTTGGAACGGATTCCTCAGTCCAATGTACAGCCTTCCAACGATTAGCTGCAGAAAACCCCGAAATTTGTGTCCAAATCTTGCGGCTGCGTTTTGTAGCCCGAGGGCCAAACACCATCGGTTTAATGGGCGGGTGGGCGTTTGGTCGTATGGGCGTGTCGCTGGGAAAACCGCTGCCAAATGAGGTCCACTCCACCTGACGGGCGGCTGTCAGAAGCAGTTTTCCAACCCCCCACAACTCGAATCGTGTTGACAACCTGCAATCTTCTGCACTCTTTAGCTTTAGCGCCGATTTATGACTTCATTAGCAGCCACAGCTCAAAATATTGAAATCAATTTTAAAGAT